TAGTACTAAGATGTTTTAATTTTTAATATGATAAATATTATTAGATAAACTCAAGGGTGTGCCAGATGCAGCTCAAAGGGGCTCCAGAGAGATTATTGTTGCATTTTCAACGTGGGCACTTATGAATTGGAAAATGGCAAAAAGCTACAGATTAGGGCTTGATATATTGTTTTGTTGATTATGTAGACTTAAGAAAGTGGTGGAGAAAATGTTAATACACAGATTAAACTTTAAAATATGTCCCATGTAGCATTCCCCCCCCCTCCAAGATCCAGTTGTTAAACATTGACCAGAACACCCTTGGATATAACCTACATAAACAAAAGCCTTGGTGGGGGGAGGAAGACTCAATAATTTTTAAGGGTGTAAAGGAGTCTCAAGACCAAGAACTTTGCAAACAACTGATTTATCTCATGGAAAACCATGATCATAGCTTAACTGTGGCTCGAGAGATCTACTTTCCAGCTATTTCCACTTCAGTACAAGGGCCAGGCCCATGTGGAACAACTCTGATTTCTGATGGAGTAGCATCAATGCACTTATCACTAAATCATCACCATCACGTACAGGTGGATTCCCCAAAAGCAACCGTCACAACTGCCACCAGGAGACGCCAAGTCACTGGGATAAGGAATTCTTGCTGGGAGCACTGGCTTTGCTTCAAGAGACCCAAACATCCTATTCCCAACTGGCCTGACTAGGCTTTGGTAGTGAGTGATCCAATGAGGCTGTACTCTGAACTGGGATCTCCCTGTTGCCTCATACCTCAACCCCCATAACCCTTCACCAAATTTCAGAAGGACCCATTCAGTAAAGTTTCTAAGTTACAATTTCAGTTTCAGCCTACTCCAGTGGCAAGGTCCTTGATTTTGTAGAATCTGTTAGATCATGGCCCCTTGACCTGGGGTCCATGGACTCCCAAAGAGTTTGTGGATAGATTTCAGTGGGAGAGGGGAAGTCTATGAATTAGGATACAAAAAATGCTACACCTTTATTTTCCCTAACCTCCAACTGAACATTAGCAATTTCTTCAAATATGACTATAAGGCACTAAACAATTCTGAGAAGGGTGGGTTTCACCAGACTGACAAGAAGGGCAATGACACTAAAAAGGTTGAGAACCCTGTGTTAAAGAAATTGGAGCTTGGTGGTTTAGCACGCAGAACTTGGCTCTTGTCAAAAGAAGTGATCTAGTGTAAAGTAGAAAAGGTTGAAAAGAGATTTGGTTAAGCAAATTTCTCCCTTAAAGTTGCATGGAATTGTCTTCAAGTAGGAGAGAGACATGTAGAGATAGGGATGGGGATAGAAACTGGAACTGTGATTTCATTAGTATAGGAATAAATGAATGTGCATCTATTAAATCATTACTATGTGGTCAAGCACTGTTTTAAGAATTGGGCATATAGCTAATCCTGCTCCAGTTAGAGAAGACAATATATGTCCCTGAGTTCAGCTGCAAAGAAGATGGAAAGGCCCAGAGGTCTCTCTGGTGCTAATACAAAGCCTTGGCAAGGCCGAAGAGTCCTTCAGCTGCAGCAGCTTTATTTGGGGCGGGGGGGGGGGGGGGGGGAATGGAGGAGCGTCTAATCCCTAGCTGCACTGGGAAATCTAGTTCTCCAGCTGCAAGGGGGGGGGTCTAGTCTGGCTGCATCAGGAGGTCTGCTCCACATGAGTGACCCACCATCATTAGAACCTAACCAGCTTATAAGCTGGTCACTGTCTGTATACTAAAGGGTTGCTAGAAAGAGAGCATGATCACAACCAAACACATCCTATCTTTATATATGTCAGAATAAGAGCAGGAGGCAGAGCTCAGAATTTCATGACATGAAGGAGCAGGCTACCGATAATTATCTTATTTGGACCTCACAACAGCCCTACATGAAAAGGTATCATCACTGTTTTAAAGATGAATACACTGAGGCTCAGACAAGTGAGTGAGTAAGTGCTACAGACAAGATCTGAACCCAGGTCTTCCTGACTCCCCGTTTAGCCCTCCATCCATTACATTCCTTCCCCAAGACTATAGAAATTTTCTATCTGGTGATTTTAAAGGAAAGGATTTTTTTAAAAAATGAAACACCAACTATTAGTCACAGGACCTAGGTTCAAATGCTACCTCTGATACTCCTTGTGTGACCTCAGATGAATCACTTAACCTCCAGGGGCCTCACTTTCCTCACCTGTAAAATAATGGAGGTCCTTTCCTTTCAGCTCCAGATCTAGGACTAGAACAGTTTAAATATAGTACTGGTTGGAAGTAAAAGGTTGGAACAGATGACCTCTTTCACGGTATGGTGGGAAGAGGAATAAGTTGGCATTGGAGCACCCCATTTTAAACTCAACCTTTGTTACTTACTACCTCTGTGACCTTGGTTGGGTAGGGCATCAGGTTTCTTACCTATAAAATAGGGAGTTGCACTAGCTAATCTGTGCGATCATTTCTAGCTCTAAATTCTATGATTCTATGAAAACTTTGCCATCATCCTTTAAAAGTCCTGTCACAGTGCCATGAGATAATGCTACATGAGAGAAGCTCCTCCCCCCACTTCACCTCCATATAAGTTCTATAAGAGGATTTCATGGGAGTGTTTGAGGCAACACTGATTCTCACTGAGCATCCTCATTGAAGGAGCAAACATTTTCTATTTGGGGTATGAAGGCAAAAGGCATTTGACAAAGATGAGCTCCAGGCCTGACATAAATACCAAAGCCACCCTTGGCCTCTTTGGCCCAATGATGTAGCCCAGGCCAGGCTGAATTGATTTATGCTGGATGAGCAGCAAAGAATGCAGATTTTGCTTGCCATATTTTAGTGCCTTCGTCTTTACTCTTTGGAGGGGGAAGGGTGAGTTAAAAACATGGTTCCAGCTTAATTTATTTGGTGTGCTTTTCCACAAGGCTGTGTCCAGACTGTCCAGCTAATGATAAAATAGCATTTGCTAATGATAAACTAGCTCTTCCCAGGACAACTCAGGGGCATGCAGTCTAACTTATATTATTCTCTGCCACCCCTCCCCCACCCCTCTCCTACCCAAGACTGCTTTGAGTCTTAATGGGATCAGAAATTTCCAAACACAGGGATTCAGAGCTTTCCATGGGTCATTCATATCTTTCACGCCTACAGTTCCTGTAGGAGCCCTGCTCCCTCTGGACCTCCCAGCTCTACTTATAACTTTCACCATCCATCATGGAAGTGAGTGTCTTGCCAACCCAGCTCTTTGGGCGACATCTGTTGTCTAGGAGCCAGGCACTTGGAATGGAATGTGATGTCATTCTCCAAGACCTGACTGGCCCAGGTTCCTAAAGCCTGGGCTCCAGCTCCTAACCAATGCAAAAGAGAAATTGAATCTAAGTTGAAAAACCAGACTGGAAGATCTCTGGGTGGGAACCTTGTTAGTAGGCAAGGGTACTTTTATCCTTAAGTAACCTACAGATCAGGGGTCTATGTTCTTAACCTGGGGTCCATGGATAGATTCTAGAGGGTCTGTGAATGTTGAGGAGGGAAAATTACATCTTTATTTTCACTAACTTCTAACTGAAATTTATCATTTCCTTCAATTATTTTTAAAAAAATCAACACTTCATTATTTGGAGAAGAAATCCATAGGCTTCATCAGACTGTCAAAAAGATCCATGACCAAAAGAAAAAAAAAAGGTTAAGATCAAGGGATCAGAGCTTTCCATTTGGAAGGGATCTTAGGGGTTATTATTTTACAGATAAAAAAAATTAAGACCAAGGGAGATTAAATGAATTTGCCCAAGGTGACACAAGTAGCAACTTGGAAGGGCCAGGATTTGAACCCATGTGCCCCTATTTTGGGGGCCAGCAGAGTCACCCCAGCCTTTGTATAAGAGGCCATGGGGTTTAAAATTTGTCCTTCCCCACTAAGCACCCTTCCAAAGTCAAATACAAACTCTCACTTTTTTGTTTGTGGCAAAATCAAAAGGGAAATGTTTCTTCTTTCATCCAAGAAAGAGTCATGCTTCATTAACCTTTTGCTAATTCCCTTCAGCAGACTCCACCCCTCCCCATCCTTCACCCTCATCGCCATCTCCTCAACCTCCCCCTACCCCACGCACAGGCGCACAGATAAAACATCTTACACTCATACCCCAAACACGACAGGCGTCTGACTGAAAACATGAGAATTCCAAGCAAACTCGTACTGAAAAAAAAGTAGCATTTGGTTTCCATGTCACCTGCCAACTCAAGGCTTACTGAAAAGCTAGTTTTCGAAGAGGCTCACTCAGAGTATAAAGCTGTCAAAATCCTCATGCCTAACTGTGCATCAACAACTTTTCACCAGGTCTGGCCAATACACCTCTATAGTAAAGCACAGCGCAGTGTATGTAATCCCGCTTGCCAATATTCAACCCCAAGTGAAAAACTTAAGGCAGAAACCACTATTTCCTAAGAGTTGAAAAGCCTGAAGGGGTGACTGGGAAGCTGGAAGGGGGCAGAGCAAGGGCTAGGGGAAGATGTCCTATCTTAGCAAATGTTTCTGAGGCAAAAATGGTAAGATTATTGAAGGCTGATGAAATTTAAGGCAAGTAGTATATTTAGCGGCTTATTCTTGGCTGCCACTGGAGAGAAGAGCTACATTTCAAAAGAAAAAAGACAGGGGAGGCTTTGCAGAAATGCTGACTTGGGGGTGGGGTGGGGTGGAAACAAATGGGCCCTCACCTTCTTTCACTCACCCTGTTTCCCTCACCCGTTTCTGTGTTCTGCCCTCTCAGTGCCCTTCAGGGCTGCCAGTTTCTTGCGCAGAGTTGGAAGGATGGCGAATGGAAAAATGCATGAGGCTATTAGCTCTGGGGAGGACGCCTCTAGACTGGGAATCTGCTGTGTTGGGGGGGTGGGGCAGGGACCCCCTTTGACCTCCCCTCTCATGCCCTCTGGAAATAAAGCAGTACTGGCCACACTGCAGAATAGACCCTGGCCTGGCCAAGTAACCATTCTCGGAAGGAAGGAAGTGGTAAATTTGGCAAAGTATTACCTGTGGACCTCCCTGGGAAAGGTAGGCTGATGGGTTGGTGAATTTCTTCTGGCAAGTCGTGTGTAAACCATCTCAGGTACGTTGGCTTTCGGACAGTCAACAAAGTGACCAAGCAGTCCCCTTCTCGGCCCCCACCCCCAAGTTAGCTCCGACCGAGCCCAACCCTTACAGAGATTAAACGTCGCTGTCTCCCTGGCGAGACACCGGACTCTCCTTCCCTCCCTCCCTCCCTCCCTCCCTCCTCAGGGCCCGGGGCGGGCGGTGGGGGGGTGGGGGGGGCGCAGTCCCTTGACATAGGAGGCTCTTCCTCCCCAACCCACATACCAGCAGGGGGAGCCCCGGATACGCCCAACTGGCATCTAGCCAGGACCTGGGATGGTGGGGTGCGGGGGGGGGACACTTTGTTTTAGCACCTATAAAGAGTCTGTTTCACCCCAAACCTGGAGGAGAGAGACGAGAAGAAGGTAGCAATGGAGCACCCAGAAATAGGCAGGGTCCCGGAACGGAACAATAGTTGGGGGTCATGATGGGTCAAGTCTCACACATCCAGCTCCATATTTTCTGAGAGTCTGCTTGCTCTTGTTCGGACCCCTGGGGCGGGGGACCCTTGAACCAGGGTCCCCACAAGCTCCTTTAGGTCTGCTCAAAACCTAGCCCCTTTCCCTCCGTCCCCTTCTTCCCCTCCAAGGCTGTCCTTGCAGCCTTAGCCGCCGCAGACAAAGGGCTCCAACAGGTTAGCCGCCTGTCGGTCTCTCTTACCTCGGGGCCAGGCTGGGGGGTCGGCAGCCTTCTCCTTGGGGGTGCTGCAATTCCCCCCCCCCTGAGCCCCCCACCTCAGTCTTAGCGCCGCCGTCGCCGCCGCCTCCCGGGAGCTCTCAGCCGGGCAGTCTGAGCCATGCCCCGGCTGCCGCCGCCTCCCTGCGCCCCTCCGCCAGCTCCATGCAGCTAGCCCCAGACTCCCCGCGACGCTCCCTGCTGAGGGAGGAGGGGTGGGGAAAGCGAACGAGGACCCGGACCGGGGCTGGGGGCGGGGGTGGTGGCAGAATTGCTGAGCTTGCGCGCGTGTGGATGTGTGTGTGTGAGTGAATGTGTGAGGGACGGCGAGTGAGCGCCGGCGGGCTGCACCGGCAATGCCTGAGCTTCGCCCCTGCCTGCCTCCTCCTCTCCTCTAGCTCTCTCTCCTCCAATCGCTCCCTCTCTCGCCTCCCCTCCAACCCAGCGCCGGGAGTCTCCTCCCTCCCCTCTCCGTCCCACCGCGGCTTTGAACCCGCAGGTGGCTCCTCTGTAAGGCAGAGGCAGACAGGACCCCGGGAACCCCGAAGTTGGCATTACTACACCCCATCCAGACATGGGGTGGGGCGGCCCCGGGGGAGCCTGATGGTCACTCTCAGCAGGGAAGAGGTCGGGCATGCTCTCCAGCAGGCTGCCACCCCAGGGAGGGAGGGGCCCTGAAAGAAGCAGGCTCCGAGGAGGCCCTCCGTCTGTGCCGCTCAGAAAGGGTGACTTAGCTTCTAGCAATGTGGCCACTTCTCCCTTCCTATTCGCCCTCCGGACCACACCACCTTGCTTTCTGCCTCAGTCCCGCTGTTCTTCCCTTGTGCAGTCCCTGAAGGAAAGAGTGACTCTACAGAGCACTGTGTACTTCTTCCCCATTCTCATCGTCTCCTGGTATTGTTACACAGGTCAAATCAGGTTAAAACCAATGCCAAGGATGAAGGGGAAAAAAGAAGTCATAATAATGACTTACACCTCACTCCGTAGCCCTTGCAAACTGGCTTCTGCTCCCACTACTCAACCTGAAACTGCGCTCTCCAATGTTGCCAAATTGGTAAATCCCATGGCCTTTTCTCACTCCTCATCGTGCTTGACCTCTGGAGAGTGATGGTTCACCACCACCACTGCCCCCTCCATCCACATCCTCATGTTTTGGTGACACTGGTCTCCTTCCTTCTCAGATGTTTTGGTGACATGGCTGCCTCCCGGTTCTCCCTCTTGCCTTCTTAATCTCCTTTATGAGATCATCATCGAGGTCCCCTTATGAAAGGAAGGGGGACAGAAGAGCACTGTGTTTCTCAGGGGTCTGTCCTTGATTCTCTTCTTTCTTGGTGATCTCATCAGCTCACAGAAATGCAAAGTTTAAGAGACTGGTGGGACCTCAGAAACCATCTAGTCCAACCCATCCTTGAAAGGAATCCCCACTGTTACATACCCAACAGATGGTCATGCAGTCTCTGCTTGAAGACCTCCAATGAGGGAAAACTCAGCACCTAATAAAGCAGCCCGTTTTTCTTTGTACAATTCTAATCCTTAGGAAGGTCAGTGAAGTGGCCCAGTGGATAGATGCTGGGCCTGAAGTCAAGAAGACTCATATTCCTGACTTCAAATCTGGCTTCGGACACTTACTAATTCTGTGATTCTGGACAAGTTACTTCATCCTCTTTGCCTTAGTTTACCCATCGGCAAAATGAGCTGGAGAAGGAAATGACAAGCCAATCCAGTATCTTTGCTAAGAAAACCCCCAAGGTGGGGAGGGGGGCAGCTAGGTGTTGTAGTGGATAGAGCACTAGCTCTAGAGTCAAGAGGACCTGAGTTCAAATCTGGATTCAAACACATAAAACTTACTACCTGGGTGACTCTGGGCGGGTCACTTAACCCTAATTGCCTCACCAAAAAAGGAAAGAAAAAAAGAAAACCCCGAATGGGTTCAGGAAGAGTTGGATCTGACTGAACAACAAACAAAAACAATAAAAATGGTTCCCCCCCCCCAGAAATCATGCCTAAATCCACCCCTGCAATTTCCTCTGGTTGTTCCTGCTTCTGCCCTCTGGGGTCAAATTGAATCAATCCCATATTCTATGTGACACCCTTTCACTTTCTTGAACACAGTTTGGTGACCCACCGAAGTTTTCTCTTCTCCAGGCTAAAAATCCTTGGTTCCTTCAACCCATCCTCATGTAGTATAGACACAAAGTCCTTCACTCTCCATTGGGTACAATTATCATCTCTATACAGATGACCTCCAAATCTACTTATCTAACCTTCACCTCTCCTCTTAGCTCCAAATGACCTGCTGCAAAACTCCACTTCGATGTTCTGCAGGCATCTGAACCCCATGGCAACCATGTCAACAAGCATTTATTAAGTGCCCATGTCATGCCAAACATTGTACTAAACACTGAGAATACAAATATGAGCAAAAAGAAAGGCAGCCCCTGTCCTTGAGGAGCTTACATTCTAACCAGGAAAGACAACATATAACAGGAAGATGGAAAGGGGGTAGTGGGGAGAAGAGGAAGTACCCAGGACAAAGTCACGATGGAGAAGTCCAGGAGTTCCTTTGGGTCTGAAAGGAAGAGATGCTGGCCTGGGCACTCTCCTTAAATAAGATTCTGGGAGGACCTCTCTACCCTTCAGTGAAAGGGAGGAGCCCCAGGTACTGATGAGGCTGTGAATTCCAGGAATGAAGTTATCTTTCAGGATGAAGAGGTTCCTGGGGTGAAGTTCCAAGGAGTAAAAAATTGAGCTTGCTATCTTTTCTTCTTCCTAACTTCTTTTTTTTTGGGGGGTTAGGCAATGGGGTTAAGTGACTTGCCCAGGGTCACACAGCTAGTGAGTGTTATGTGTCTAAGGCCAGATTTGAACTCAGGTCCTCCTGAATCCAGGGCTGGTGCTCTATCCACTGCGTCACCTAGCTGCACCTTTACTTCTTGATATCTATCAAGAGCACCACCATTTTGCTAGTCATTTACATGGGGAACCTCAGTCATTTTCCTCTATTTACTCTTCCTCACTGTCCCAGTTGCCAAATCTTGTAGCTTCAACTTCCACAGCATCTCTCACATCTATTTCCTTCTCTGTACTTGCACAACCATCACCCCACTTCAGGCCATCATCCCCTCTCTCCTGGACCATTGCAATTGCTTCCTAGTTGCTGTCTTTTGCATCTAATCTTTCCCCTCTCCAATCCATCCTCCACACAGCTGATAAATTGATATTCCTAATGCATGAGTCTAATCACGTCACTCCCTTGTTAATGAAGTTTCAGTGGCTTTTTATTACTTCTAGTCAATCAATAAACATTTATTAAGTGCCTACTATGTGCTAGGCACTGTGTTAAGTGCTGGGGGGCGGTGTATAAAGTCAAGTAAAAGCTTTTTTTTTTAATCTCCTTGAGGAGCTAACAATTGAATGGGGGTGTTTAATATCTTTTGGGTCCTGAATCTCTTTGGCGTATGGCTGAGCCTATAGACTTCTTCTCACAATAATGTTCTTAAATGCATAAAATAAAATGCATAGGGTTACAAAGGAAATTACTAGGATCAAATCCAAATGCTTCTGTTTGTCATTTAAAGCTCTTCACAAACTGGCACAAACCTAGCTAGATAAATTTCACATTACTCACCCTTTTACACTTTACACTCCAGCCAGTCTGGCTTACTTGATATAATCCATACTCGGCCTGATATTTTTCATTGCTGTGCCCTTATTCTCCTTCCTCACCTCTGCCTCTCAAAATCCCTAGCTTCTTTCAAAGTTCAGCTCAACTGCTCCCTGGAGACTTTTCCTTATCTTCCCAATTATGAAAGCTCCCCCAACTACTTTGTATATGTTTTGTATTCACCTATTTATTTATATAGTTTTCTTCAAATACAATGTAAGCTTCTTCAGGGCAGGGGTAGTTCCATTTTTGTGTTCGTATTTTGCTTTTGAATCCCTCATGCCCAGTATTATTCCTGGTTCCCAGGAGTTAATCAGTGAACTGAACTGAACTGATATTTAAACGTGTAAGCCTGACAAAGTGCTTTGCACATGTTATACATCCCAGCATCTAGTATAGTGCCTGGCACATTGTCACTGTTGTTGTTGTTATTTGGTTGTGTCTGACTGTGTGATCTTATGGACCCATAGCACGCCAATACTAGCCACTCTGCAAAGATACTGGAGTAGTTTGCCATTTCCTTCTCTGGTGGATTAAGGTAAACAGAGATAACATGACTTGCCCATGGTCACACACATTTACTAAGTGTCTGAGGTCAGATTCGAACTCAGGAACATTAAGCACTCAGGTGCTTAATAAACGCTGGGTGACTTGATTATATTACCTCATTTGTGATAGCTCACAGTAAGGACTACAGACTGAGGTGTGGTGGAGCCAGCTCATACAAGCTTGAGGGAGAT